AAAGAGTGGAGAAAAACCAGGGAAATCTTGGAAGGTGCCTAAATGCACCACTGTGGTGTGGGGAAGCAGGGAGGAGAACCCGCTTCCTGAAAGAATGGAACTCAAGGAAAATAAACCTTGTGGGGAAAGTGTAACACACCTGCATTAGTTTTCAAAAGGAAAACAAAACAAAACAGCAGGGCCTTCTAGCTGAGGAGGAATCTGGAGAACTGGGTGTGATTCCCTGCTCCTCCACATGCAGCCAGCTGGGTGATTTTGGGTCAGTCACAGGCTGCGGTCACACACAATACATAACCCACTTTCGGTGCACTTTCCAACTGGATTTTACTGTGTGAACTGGCAAAATCCAGTTGGGGAGTGGGTTGGAAGTGGAGTATTTATTGTGTGAAGGGTGGGGGTACAAATCCAGACTCCTCCTCTTCTTCTTCTTCTTCTTCAAGTGCCACAGTCTGTGTGCAGCCCTGAGTCCCCCCCTCGGCTTTTCCTTCCTTCCAAAATACCTCCCTCGGCACCCGTCACTTCCCCCCTCCTGCATCTGCTACTTCCTGCGCCCCCCCCCCGCAGGTGCGCCCCCCCTGCAGGTGCTCCCTCCCACACCAAATCTCCCCGGGGGGTGGGGGGTGCCAGCGTACACATTATTATTGTTATTATTATTTGAATTTTTACCCCGCCCTCCCAGCCAGGGCGGCTTACCCAAATGCAGCACGTACTTACAATAGAACATAAAATATAAATTAGAGTAAAACAATCCTAAAACCCTTTAAAGTGCTAATAAGCACTGACCAGGAATGGGGAGGGGATGAGTCCGAGAGAAACGCGAGGCGCCTAGGTAACCCGGAGGTGACGCACCATATCGGCGATGACGCTCTGGTTTGTGGGCAATTAGCTTCTACCATAGAGTTTTGCCCAAAAATCCCCCCTGACTTGGCTACATCACTTCCGGGTGACGGCACTGAGCTCGCCTTTATTTCGGGGGGGGGTGAAGGGGGATTCCCGCCAACCACTTTTGGGTCTTCCCTTGCAGCCCCTCCCAGAGTCGGGAAACGGCTCCCCCCATGTGCCTCTCTAGGTGGCGGGTTTGAATTCTGCACCAGAAGCCCTCGCGGGGACATCGTCGCTGCCCCCCCCCCCCAAACCCTTCTCCTTTGAATTCACCTCCAGATTCCCTCCTGTCGTTCAAACAGCAGCCCGGGGGATTCGGAGGGCGCTTCTAGGAGGCAGCTGGAAATGGCTATTTTATCCCGCGCGGGCACACACACACACACACCCCGATTCTCTCTCTGTCGAACTGCTGGCTCTCTGGCTTCGACCACAGAGAAGATCTCCAATGAGAGCCACCCGGGAGAGACGATGCAAAGGGGAAAGTCAGAAAAATGTCACCAAGCAGGTGATATCCCACTGCAAAGGAACAGGCTATATTAGGCCTCTTTTAATGGTTATACGTGTGTGAGTGTGTATATATATATGTGTGTGTGTGTGTGTGTGTGTGTGTGTGTGTGTGTGTGTGTGTGTGTATACACAGACACATGACTTCTCTGATAGGCATGGGCAGTGGGATCGGCTCAGCCGAAATAGATTTTATGTTTCAATTTTTGGAGCCTGTGTGCTGCCTTTCTGCAGAACATAGAAGAAAATGTTATGGTGGTTCAGGCCAGTGGCCTATCCAACACGCTCTGTCACACAGAGGCCAAAACCCAGGAGCCATCAGGAGGGCCACCAGCAGGGCCAGAAGTCCAGGAGCCCTCTCAGTTGCCCTCCAAGCATCAAGAAGACAGAGCATCACTGCCCCAGCCAGAGTCTTCCACCAATACTTTGTGGCTGATAGCCACTGATTGACCTTGGCTCCAGATGTTTATCCAGTCCCCTCTAGCTGTCTATGCTTGTAACTGTTGTACACACAGTTTATGAAACACTGTTATGCACTCAGCTCTCAGTCGACATTTCCCTTTTAAGAGCACGCTGACATTTCCCTGCAAGCCTGATCTCAAGCGGAGATCCGGCTTGGGAGGAAACGCCCATGCATTTAAAGGCAGCCACCCCTCTCTCTCAAGAGAGAAGGGAGGGGGTGGCTGTGGGTATTGGGGCCGGGGCTTCCCTCGCCGACCATCTGGCCAGTGGCGGGTAGAAACACAACCCCCCCCCCAAAAAACCCGGGAAACCGGGGGGGGGGGGTTGGCAACCCTATTCGGAGGCGACGTCCGTTCTAAAATGACATTTTGAAAAGACCCACCTCTGAGCAAAAATCTTCTTGATGGTTTACAAATTACTGACGCTTTCATCCTAGTTGGAATATTTTGGCAAGATGTTCCCCCGAGGAATGACAAACGTGGAATGACAAACGTGGAATGACAAATTCCCCCGAGGAATGACAAATGCTGTGTTACAAACCATGATCCTGAAGACACTGTACTCATAAACAGTGGGTTCTAATTGCAATAGTGTTTCATAGTAACAGACATACTGGCCTGCTTTTTAAAAATAGGTAAAAGGTAAAGGTTCCCTTGCTCGAAAGCCAGTCGAATCCGACTCTAGGGTTGCGGTGCTCATCTCCGTTTCCAAGCCGAATAGCCAGCGCTGTCTGAAGACGTTTCCGTGGTCATGTGGTCGGCATGACTAAACACCAAGGCGCACGGAACGCTGTGACCTTCCCACCGAAGTGGTCCCTATTTATCTACTTGCAATTTCTTGCTTTCGAACTGCTAGGTTGGCAGGAGCTGGAACTAGAGATGGGAGCTCACTCCGTCATGCAGCAACCCGGGTCTCGAACTGCTGAACTACCGACCTTCCACAGCCTGCAGATCAGCGTCTTAACCACTCGAGCCACCGCAGCTCCTTTTTAAAAATACTTGTAAGTAAACAGTGAAATGGTTAAAACTTACCAGATTTAGAGTAAACCATGGCACTACAGGCCAATACTTCACCACGCTCCCTTTAAGCCGTGGAGTCTTGGGAGCAAAAATTCTGCTGTGTGAGCTACTGGCATTAAAGTCGTGAGCCAGCAATTTGGCTACTGCATACATTAGTTTGCTCTGGAGCCATTCTTCCTGAGCTAAGATAAAAATGCTTTTATCTTTTATCTTTCTTTTATCTTTCTACGTTATTTAATCAACATTTAGTTTATCTCATTATGACTCATTTTCATTCATGCATCTATTACTTTAACCAAAAATATTATTGTACTGTAATGTCCTTTCCCCCTATTTTTATAAATTTTTAAAATTGAAACAGGGCTTTAATTCAGAAAATTTACACCATGGCATTTGACTAAAAAAACTTATTGCATCCAGAATTAAGAAAGTTGTCTCAAAACTAGTTTCTTTAGAAGTGTCCACAGTACAAACTGGAAACACTGAGACCTGCTAAAAACAGTTATGACTTTTCAATATCACCTGCTGGACCCTATACAATATACTGGTGTTAGAATCAAGATAATTAAACAAAATTAAAATCAAAAAAATATCTTCACGCTGTTCATTTTGAACGCTAAGTAAATGTAATTTATTCTTATTTTTCTTTGTACTGAATGGGTGGGGAAGTTTGCCGAGTGACCCGAAACACTTGGGCCAGGGGGACGGGGGGGAGGGGGTAGCCGTGGCTCATTGGTTAAGCACAGGCTTCACATGCAAAACATTCCAGAGTGAGTCTCTGGGACCTGTAGTACAAGGTGCCAGGAAAGGTCTTTCTTAGGGTTAGAAAAGTCTTTCCTGAAGAGCCACAGCCAGTAAGAGCACACAATGCCAGGGGCCTGATGTCTCTAAACCCTGGTCCAGTTTTGCCCCACTCAGCCACTGAAACAGTGATGAATTTAGACTCTTGTAATTTCACTGAAATGACAGAGTTTATTAAAGCACAACAGTTCTCCTCGGAATACAGCTAATACAAGAACAATGATGGCTCAGGTTAAAAGGGGGGGGGTAGGCAGAACTATTTAGAGTAGACATAGCATCAAAAATAGTGAATATAA